AACCAAACTGTGTAATTAGTTATTTTTTTACCTATGTTTAATGCTCCATGCATACGTCAAAAAATTGATGTGATAGAGAGAGAGTGAAAAAACTTGAAATTTTGAGGCAATCTAAACGAGGCCTTCTAAAGCGAGAGTGCATGCATGCATGATTTCCTAGCAAAAACGAAAAAGGTAAAAAGGACTTGTCCTCTAGATCCCTTCAGCTGTGGCTCGTCCGTTCCGTTCTATGCATTTTCCCTGAAAAATCCGGCCGCTAATTGATTCATCAGAACAACAATTCATGCACACAGAAAAAAAAGGATCCGATTCTGCTGAATTGTCTCGGTTTCGTTACAATCATGGATGGAATGCGCCGCGGAATTTATGCGCGCATGTTACCAATGCAAGAACGAGTATCAGATGGCACTCACTTTGAGAAAAGAGACAAAACTTGGAATGCGATAGCACCCGGCAGAGTTCAGAACGAGCTTCTCATGTTCAGAAAATCACATCCTATTCTCCATACCAGCCAGAGTACAAGAATAAAGATTAGAGCATTTTCGAGATCAATATAATCCCCTTTCTCAAAAACTGTGGTATAAGGGAATGAGATGAAAAAATCTGTTCAAGCAGATCCCCTTTCACAATCTCCTTTTTCCTATATTTTTTCTCAATTCCTCAAAACCACCCATCAATCTCTCCAATAGAGCGGAGCAAGCAGCCTTTTTTTCTCAATCCCATTTCCTCCCCCCTTCATCACTGGCACTCGGGCCCTGCCAGACCATGCCATCACTGCGTCGGCCGTCACTCTGGGCGAGAGCCAGGCCACGTCACTAGCACCGCCACCACGAGCAAGCCAGCAGGCACGCCGCTGCCGTCGCTCTAGTGAGCGTGTAGGCCACGTTGCCGCAGCCGTGGGCGAGCGCACGGGCCGTGTCACTGTCGCGCTGGCAAACGTTGAACCAGAACAATGACATGCGGGCCCCACTGTCAGAAGAACAAAGGGGATGAGATTTTTCTCAATCTGGTAGAGCACAGTTCCTCTATACTTCAAAGGTCTATTTTCTCGGTCCCCTTTAGCTCCATATAGGGGATTGGATATTCTCAATCAATCAGATCAAGATGCACTTAAACCCTATCGCATCTCCACACTCAATAGATCCGTTCATGCTTCTTGGTAGAAACTTGATTATATGATGCTTGGTACATTGATTATTTTTTTATGTTTTTCATAATTGTATATGTCCATATGTTATCATGCGTATACGTAAACTCACACCCTATAAACACGTTTCCTAATAAGACGCTATCGTCAACAAGATTAGTGGTGATTGGTTGATAAATAGAAACTTTTTAATGCAAAATGGTTTATGTCTTCTAGAATGTCTTATATTTTAGGATAAATTTTGAATGCTAGAGTGCGCTGTATTACAGGACGGAAGGAGTATAGTTCTGATAGTGGTCACATGGATGCTTTATTATATCCCAAAAGGAAGAGGTCTCATATGTACTACCATTTCTAATGGGTTTCCAAATAAACACTATTGGGCGTCGTTTCATGGAAAAAGTCTAATTGACCTCCTTATTTTTTTACGCCCTCTGATTTTCTCAGATTACTGAAAATCAAAAAACAGATTTCCTCTCAAATTACTGATTTTGCCTGTGTGTTTATCCTACGTGGCACCATATCAACCACATGTCATAAAGTCAACAATTGTTGATAGTTTATAGTTGTAAATAGATTTTACCAAAACATTTATATCGATATTTTGTAGTTTAATTTAGATCCCAGACAACAGATGAAGGAAACAATCAATCTGACCTCCCTCAAATACTGAGTGAGTCCAATTTACCTTCCTCAATTAGAAAACCAGATTTTAAACTTCTCCAACTCATGAAACTATCCGATTGCCCCCCTGAGCGGTTTTCGCTGATGTGGCGCTAGGAGAAAGACAAATCGGACTTTCACAATAGTTTAGTGAGGCCAACTAGGCTTAATAAAAAAATTAGAATTTTTTTTTCAAAAAAATACTCAAATAGTTTTGTGGAATGGATACACATTCAAAAATACAAAATATGATTTAATTTTAGACAAATTGTTTAAAATAAAAGAATATGAAACTGGTTTCATATTCTTTCTAGGATCATGTGCTTAGCGAGGTAGCGGAGTCTAAAAATCTGGTTTTCCAGTTTTTTTTTTTTTTTTTTTTTTTTTTTTTTGAGAAGGATCTGGTTTTCTAGTTGAGGGAGTTAAATTCGATTAACGCAATCTTTACCTTTCGAAACCAGAGTTCAAGCTCTGCCATATTATTGGGCCACGTCACTTGCTAGTCTGCTAAACGTCGGATCAGCTCTCCGTGCAAGATTAACCGTCTGATCCATACAGGTTAGTTCGAACCTGTCACACAGACGTGTCGCGAATCATCACGAACTCGGGCTACTCGACAGGCCGAGGTCCTCATCCCCCACCTCCGCATGTCTTCGCCGGCCAGCAACCCAGGTCTCGCAAATTCTCGGTCGTCCGTTCACGTGGTAACGCTCGGATTTCATCTGTTGCTTCCGAGCGGGGTGGCGAGGATTGAGCCGCCGCCACCCCCGCACCCTCGCTCAAGCTGCCGTCGCTGCCATGCGCGTTGGCGCTCCGCCGGAGCCGCCGTACGTACGCCGCCCCCATGCGCGCCCGCCCGCCCACCTCCGCAGCGCCGTGACGCGGAGCTGCCAGTGCCAAGGGTGCGATGCCTCGGTGGTGATCGCACGCCACACGCGCAGCCATGGCGGCTACTAGCTGGACGAGCGCGACTGACGGGCAGGAATGGGGCGGATCCCCTACTGGTGCAAGCAGAGGCGAGCGGCATGTTGCCGTGGAGCGGCGCGTGCGTGCATTCCTTGAGGCTCGAGCTGCGGCCGGAGACGGCTACCGTGCAGTCCGTGGTGGCCGCGGCTGCTGTGTCGTGGCTTGATTTGCGGCTGCCGGCTGAGCTGAGACGGGAGACGGTGTGGTGAACGCTGCCGTGGCTGCCTCGAACTGCGCTCTCTTCATCAGTGTGGACATGGAATTGTGAGAGAAAAAAAGTTAGAGAACATGGCTGGTTTCAGCACCTACCGCAGCCATGAATGCGGACTCTAGCTAATACTGAACTCCAAGTTCATTCTGTACCAAATTTACCAAGCTTTGGGACCTTATATCTTTCAAAGCATTAAGGCTTTACCCTAGGTCCTTAAACCAAAATGGTAGAGCTACATACCATGAATGATTGTTGTAAAAAACGATCGAGTTGTTTACCCATGGATATGAGAGAAAGGGGTCAATCAACAGAGCTGGTTTAGGCTCTAAACTTGAGCCTAGGACTGAATCAGCACCGGCAGCAGTCTCCCTTCGAGGCTGCGCAGTGGACAAGTCGAGGCTGGCGCAGGACCTGAGAGCACTTGTCTGTGTGCATATACATCCTCGAATTCTATGTTTGGATATCTGCAGCAATTTAATTGTCTCTGTTGCCTCATGAAGTGTCGAGTTGTACTGTTACTGTTAGTGAAGTCCATTTTTCTATTTGCATTCTATAGTAGTTTACAGAAACTTTTGATGCAGGGAGCAGTCTCCAATATAAAAGTTCTTTCGGTCATTTAATCCTCTCGGATTATGAACACCTTTGGCTGAATACAAATCTATTCACCGGTATGTTTCTAAAGTTGAGTAGTTCATTTCTTCAGTCAGTCAATATTGTTGCTAAAATTATGGAGCGCTACAGCACACTTGCATGTTCCAGTATGCTGCATTTCTGCACATATTTTTTAATATGCACTGCCTACTCAAATGACTTGCTGAGTTTTAGAGTTTCTGCATCCATGTCTTTCAGAAGTGGGAGACACGAAATAGTAGTCCCAGCGTTTCAAGGTCCAGTAAGCGTTTATAATTGAATGGTCTATCAATTATTAATGGTCAGCCTTTCTTTTTTTTCCTGGAAGAACAACAAAAGGTCTGCCGTGATTTATATTAAGAGGATCTGCAGAAATTTACTTTTTTTTTAAAATGAATCTGCAGAGATTTACATCACGAGAAAGATGTGAGTTTTTTTTTCTCTGATAAAGATGTGAGTTCTCTCCTCTGCCTTCTCTAATGCTGTTATTGTTGCCTAATGCCGTGCCAACGAAGTGCTCATCAAAACAGAATCTATTGCAGCTGCAACTAGATGACAAACACCGCTACTTTGTTCAACTTTAATCAGTTCACGCAGGAAGGCAATTACTGGGCACAACAGTCTGTCAAAGACCATGTGCAAAGCAAGATTCGCAGTGTTGAAGCCGAAATCATATTTGAATATGAACTTGCCTGTGCAAAAGTTTGACAGTACACGTTTGATCACATCATACATTCTTGCAAAGGTATCTATGCGATTAACATGACTCTTGAAACCATATTGGTTATATAATATTCTCACTATCCTCTGTAATATAAAACTCTATCCTCTTAATGGAAATGAAACATAATTCTCTTGAGAAAAAAAAACTATCATTAAAGCAAGATTTCTCTTCAAAACTCAACTATTTCACCATCGAATTCTAAGGCTCATAGACTCTACGCAATTTCAATGCTGGTTAGCTCCAAAATGGCGCGGCAACGCCGCGCCCAAGGTTTTCTAGTAGTTTTGGAAGTCAAATAAACTTTTTCAAAAAAAAAAAAAACACTCAGGCCGAGCCCATGTTCTTTATACGGCAACCGAAGTCCAGTCGACCGTGACGTTTGGGTCTTGTCAGAACGACGGCTCGGCCCATAACTGAGCCAGGCCGACCGGGAGAACCACCAGTTGATATAGCCCAGAGAGGCCCACGTTCCTATTCAGCAAAGGCCAGGCCCAAGGCCCAGGTCACAGAGCTAGGGTTCCGCGCGTCCCACCCCACTATATAGCCTCCTCTCCACCTGCCGCCGCCGCCTTCTACGCTTCCCCATCTCTCTGTTCCTCGCGCGCCGCCGCCGCCGCGGTGAAGGAAGGAAGAGGAGGAGGTGCAAAGAGCACGACGCGATGGGCCACTCCAACGTCTGGAACTCCCACCCTAAGAACTACGGCCCTGGCTCCCGCGTCTGGTAACTATCCCGCGACGCTCCCTTCTCTGTATAGGATCTCGGTTCTGGATGGCGCTTTTCAGATGTGAATGACCTGCTTGCGATAAGTAGACTCCATGGATCTGTTGAGGTTCTGAGTCGTTTTGTTGGTTAGCTTAGCCCCCATCAAGTTTTGGGATTGGGATCCTATACGCATGGTTATTTTCGCTGCTGAAAATGATGTTCTTTAGATGTGCCTGCGTTATTGCTGCTTATTGGACACCTGGTGTACATCACAGGCTTAGAGAAATGATTCTTGAAGTAGGTTTCTTGGATGAGCGTGATACAACTGAGACATGATCTGCAACTCTCATAACCTCTGTTACCTTGTTAAAGTAGGTTTCTTGGATTAGCGTGCTACAACTGAGACATGATGTGCAACTCTCATAACCTCTGTTACCTTGTTAAAAATGGTTGTCTTTTAGTTTTGTATCTCAGTTCGATTTTGGTATTGTAATTTCAGCTGGTTATGTCTAGCTGCTGCTTTGATCTGCTGTTTGGTGATACTACTCATGGCAGGCTATTTGTTTGATAACCTGGTTGATTTTTTGCTGGTCTATTCCATGACTAATTATTTTATTAATGTATATATGTTTGGTGTGTTCGATTGTGCATTTATGTCTGAATGTGATAGCCTGTGAAACACAAAAGGGTTACTGCTTTTAAAGGACTGTGATTTGTTAATAAAGTTTGTAAGATGGACCGTTTTTAGCTATATGCCAAAAGAGTATATTTAAAAAAAGTGGCCTTGGTAACTCTGAACATGTTTGTGTTTTTGCAGCCGGGTCTGCGCGAACCCTCATGGTCTGATCAGGAAGTATGGCCTCATGTGCTGCAGGCAGTGCTTCCGCAGCAACGCCAAGGACATTGGCTTCATCAAGGTATACATGGTTGTGCAGTAGTCATTATTGAGATTTGCCCTGGATCAGTAGGACATTGGTATTAGGTGATAGTATAGCTGTATTTGTATCTATCTAATTGAAATTGTTTCAATTGTATGTACGGCTTCAGACGCCTTCCATGCAGAGCTGTCAAGCTAGCTGTGTTTTGACTACATTAGCCTGCCACTCTTGTCTCATATAGTTTGTTCTTGCACTTGCAGTACCGCTGAAGAATCTACACTGCTGTTGTGGAGAACTCCTGCATCAAAGAAATGGATCCTTCGTTAGAAGGCCTAAATTATGTGCTTTAGCTTTTTGTTCAGAACTTGAGACTGATGTGCTAGTAATCTTGACTTGTTAAAGTTTTGAAGGGTACCATGTGCCTGTTGGACCAGCTATAATCAGAAGATTGAAATATTTTGTCACGTGATATTTGGTGTTCTTATCCTGCGTGTATTGTTGCTTTCATGTGTTATTGTATCACCAGGGCCATTTACTTGCTTCTTGCTTCATGAATGATCCTGCTAAAGATTAATGATGACTATTACACTCAAGGATATTGATGTATGCATGTAATAACTTCTGGTTTGTTTGTTTCTATACCTGTGTATTTTCTGACAAATAGTTGCTGGTCCATTGGAAGATACTGTGATGTGCAGCTTAGGTGGAAATTAGCTGGCATTGTTATTCTAGAATTTCCTTTATGGATTGACTTGATAGCTTTTGAGATTATTTTATAATACTATTGTATTGGTAAGCCATGGTTGAACATCTTGTCCAACGGATCAGTACACAGAATTGAAGCTGTGCTCAAAATGTATGCAAGCATATCGTTTGTACAAACCAGCATTCGGTTGAAATGGTAACTGGTTTCTACCTTTCAATGCTTCTTGGGTATTGGGACTGGCTAGCGGAATCATTTCTGCTGATTGACATTGACTAGCTGAATTATTTCTGCTGATTCGCAATCTGGCAAGCTCAGTTCTCTTTGTGCTGAGGTGAGGTGAAGTGCGGAGCCTGTATCCTACATAAAATTGAGATGAGAATATTAACCTTGATATGCTTCGATTGTGTTTTTGCTTGAATAAGGTTTCAATTATGTTTTCCTGTTTGTTCTGAATGGACCAAAAGGGTTGATGCACCGGTTTGTGAAAGGTTACCATGATTTTCCAAGACTGCTGAAACCTGCAGCTGTGCTGTAAAATTCTTAGTATTCTGTGTTCCATGTGAGTCACATTGTGGAGACAATATTTGGTTCATCATGAAGAGGGGGTTCTGCTGCTGTGATGTGATTGTTTACTCAGTCATGAGTGTATAAAAAATTTAGTGTTTAGGATTGTGTTTATATTTTGCTGTGGCACAAAGGAAACATTTCTTTGTTAGATTATGTTTGGTCTTCTTACACCAAAAATCAGCTTTATTTTATTTTATTTTATTTTATTACGGGTGATAATGTTGTCAATGATTTGATGTGATCCTAAACCTCTACTTTTAAAGCTACTTGAATTCTGAGTCTTCGTTGAAGCTGGATATTATATCCTTATAAACACCTGCATGATTCAATTGCCATACATGTCTGTGCTGGCTCGGGCGCATAATTCAGTTGAATATATGTAATTTGGCAAATGATGTGGATGTTGCTTATTTAATGTCTGCATGATCCAGTTGCTGTATATGTCTGTATACCTCATTGCTTAATTGTGTCATAGTAATCTTGTGTTCCCATGATATCTGGCATAGCATTATTAGTTCTATTCAACAACACTTCTCTTACTATAGGATTCACGCCTCTCTTGTCAATTCTTAAAAAATGCCATTCCGCCATCAATGCATCTTTGCACTCTGGAATATTCTGCTGATTTAGTATTCTTGTTCCATCTGTAATCAGGTGGCACACAACTGATTGCTCGTGGGTCATTAATGTCAGGATGATAGGCAGCACCTAACCGAAGGACGGCTTGCTAGGTTTTTTGTGATGCAGGGCTGAAGACGATTATCAACTTGGACAATTTGCTTAATTGATTGCTTGTGCATTCATAGTTCTATGTCGTGATCTGTGGGTCAAATTGCCAATATGTTTCTGCAGTCCCCTTGTTAATACTAGGATGCTATCCCACAAGCCATGTTTGTCATGCTTAATACAAAGAATGGAGCACGTCTCGAGCTGTCCTATTATACATAGTAACTGACTTAATGACTTGATGTTATCTGCTTAGGTAGCCTTTGCATTTATCCTGTTGATAATCTTCTGTTATTCTCAAGTGTTTCAATCTTGCACAAGGCTTAAACTTCAGTTGAAAAGCTTCAGCCCTGCAGTAGGCATGTTGCACATCATGAATGTTTCTCACAAGTGAGAAAAACCACCAGAAAAGATGTTCAGGATTGCAAACTGAGCTGAGTTTGCCATTTTTTAATGAACTCCCAGCACTTCTCCATGGTCACCTACACTTCCATTTTTTCTTATTCAGTCCAGCTCCTAGTCTTGTCTTTTGTTAGTCCAGTTGCATGTCATGTGGATCATTTAATGGGCGCCTCTTTTCAACTGAAGAATTTATGACACCATGATTCTCTTGGATCCTTCGGGACACCATGAGAGTGTTGCCTCTTAATTTAACTCAACAGGCAAATGATTTCATATGTGATCTTTCTAGTATCCAAACAGGAAGATCACGAGGGATGGGGTTGTGGTGCATCAGGCATAAACTATTGTCGCTTAGTTGTCATTCTACTCTTATTAAGATTAGCATGAAACTCGAGTCAAATTTTTATATCTGAAAATATTCCCCAATAGTGTGGTATAAATGTGCCCTTACCTGTACTGTGTTTTCAGACATAACCAGCAGCACTTGCCACAGAGCTTAGGAGTACTAGAGTATAGAATTGAAGGTTCTGTCAGCAGAATGGAAGGAAATTGTGCATCCATTTGGAGCGAGGAATCTGAGATGATTGCTCACCTACAGTCGATGTTCTGGAGCAGCAGCAATGCTGATTCCTGCCTTTCTTCTCCTGACAGCAACACTAGTTCTTGTGTTGAACCTAGCACATTGCCTACTACCTTGTTCCTGCCACTTGATGAAAATGAGCTGCGATAAAGAGCAAGTGCAATGTCAGAACACTGGTGCTGTTTGGTGCTTTGATCACCAGAGTCAGGTCTTTGCTCCAATTTTTAGTGGAGTTACAAGTAACAAGAGGGCATGTCTTATGGATGAGAATAAGAAGAGTAAGAATTCTAAGAAACCCCGAACCATTGCCCTGGTAAGTGAAGTTTGATTTTGTACTCCGATTTTTATGACATTATGTGTTGTCGAAAAGAAAAAGGCTGTTCTGACCCTTGGGTGCAATTTTTGTAGGCATCAAGGACAAGTTCAATTGCTCCTGCTGATGAGATTAACACTGAGCTTGTCAATCAGAGCTGTTCCTGGAGCTGCAGCTCTGAAGATGATTCAATTGGTGCGTGTGAAGAATCTGTTGTTCTGAAACAAAGTACCAGTTCAAGATGTCGTAGTCGGTCCTCGAAGGATTTACAGAGCCTTTACGCAAAGGTCAGAAATACTTAATGCTAATTTCGCAGTGATCACTGAATCTGCAGTTTTTGTTTTCTGATGGCTTAGTCATACTATATAACAGAGGAGAAGAGAGAGGATCAATGAAAGACTAAGCACGCTGCAGCAGCTAATTCCTAATGGCATCAAAGTAAGTTCTTTTCTTTTGTATTTAGTGATCAACTTTTTTGCTATCAAATTGTGTTTTCAAAGGCCCAGCAATTTGCGCAAACTTTTGTGTGAACACTGAAGAAAAGTTGTTCTCTTGCCTTTGCAGGTTGACATGAGCACTATGCTGGAGGAAGCAGTTCAGTATGTCAAGTTCCTGCAGCTGCAAATAAAGGTAGTTTTTTTGTGTCCTAGTTAAGTCAGATCAACATTGGAAAAAAACTTTAGTTCACAATTCTAGTTCTCCATCATGCGCAACATTAACCTGTACAGAGCATTGTTACATATTAGGTTTGGGAGAACAGAGCATTGTATACTCTGCATTTAAAAATACTAATTTGATGTGCAGGAGCATGCCTCTCATTTACCTTCCCTTTTTTTTTTCTGTAACAGCTCCTGAGCTCTGAAGATACATGGATGTACGCACCTCTTGCCTATAACCACATGAGCATGGACCTCAGTCCAAATGTTGCTGTGAAGCAATCATGACCGTCCAAAAAGAGTTGTCTGAACTGATCAGATGGGAGCTAGAACACATTGCATGGTCCATCTTTTCATAAATCTGTAATTAGCCCTGACTTTACATTCTTCAGTTGCTTCTTGCAAGTATGAGCAACTAGTTCTTTTGAAATAAAAATTGGACCATGGGTTCCCTTGTCATATGAGATATCGACAGTTCACGGAAATGGGAATTTTTCTAGGGTGCATTTTTTTTTATCATGGATCAAACTTTAGCCACAGTTGCTGTTGCAAGTAGAAGGAGCTGATGTGTCTCGATGACACAAAGGTTTCCGTGGTAATCGCAAAAGGAAACAGATCAAAAAAGGAAGCCAAAAAAAATAATGTCTCCTGTATAAGAAGAGAAACTGAAACCAGAAAGTGTCAGGACAAGGGACTAGTGCTATCAGCACGATGATAGTGGACCATGATTTGTTTGAGGGCAATGGATCACCAAAGTTGCACCAATCATTTGGCATTGTGCCATGCATGTTTCATGTTTGTTTGCCGCATTGAAGTGGTCTATGTTTGTTACATGGGTTCCTGCTAGAAAAGACATGGTTTCACTACTTATTTGGCGCACCACATTTCCTCTTGTAGTCTTCTAGCAAGGCCAGTCTTACACAGCTCTTGCAGTTGCAGTGTTACATATCTAGGAGGTTGATGCAGAGTAACTAATTGCCGGTTGCAGTATGTATTATTGATCTCACAAAGGTAACTGCTTTGCATTCAGTAAAGATAACTTCTTTGTTAAGGGATCAGAACCTAATCTAATTGGTGCTGAGCTGTCCAATGCGTGGATGTCTGAGCACCATGGAACTTTTTTTTTTCCTTTTATTTAGTTGAGCAACATTTGGCATGCACTAGACAAGGGTGAAGACGGCTATGCGCTTGATGAGTGTTTGCTGACAAAGGGGGCCTCTGATTGCCTAACGCGTCACTCGTGCCCTTTTCCTGACTTCAGTACTTCACCTTTTGTGCGTATTTTTTTTCACTCCAAGCATTATTTGGACGATTATTTTATTTTTCACTCAATGCTAGCTTGGATGTAAACCAGAAATACTTGGCCACCGCACCCCTTTGATGCTTGTTTCTGGAAAAAAAAATTGTGTGGGGAATATCCCCACCAGGCACCCATGGCTACCCATCGTGGATTCATGTCATGTGTCCATGCATAATTATCCAATGCCCACAGGTGCTCATGGGTGGGTGAGGATAGTCTCTAGCCAATTTTTTTTTTCATTGGCTTTGACCGCCATACTTGCTTAATAAGCATGCTGACTTATATTGGTCCTACCTGTTAGGACCGCCCTCTCCCCTATCCTCCCTAACTAGGGAGGCTAGCGGGGGCCATGACCCGCCTAACGTCTAATTGTTTTTTTGAAGAACCCTGTTGCAGCCTACTTCTAGAATTAAATTGTTTCCATTCTCTAATGACAGATGTCAAAACCCAGAAAGGTAGGCAGCCGCATAAATTTGAACCTCGACAAATCCTAGTGTTCATGAAGAAGCTGAATGCATTATGTAGATTCTTTATGGAAGAAGGGGAACAATAGAACAGGCTATGAGCTTACCAATTGGGTTGGTCTAGTGGCATTCAGAAACTATATTAGGAAGGGCAAAACGTCCTATTATGTTGCCTAAGAACCGACTCTAGGTCGACGCGCTCCGTTCCCTGATTTCTCAGCAACATAATATAGTGAATTGCCACAGTCGATCTTTATATCTACTTTATACCTATGTGTACAATGAAAATGTCGTACCTTAATTTGGCCTGGCCTATAATTTTTTTGTTCCACCACTGACTAGTTGTAGTAATTGCATATATTTTTGTTATCTACCCGTCCCGCATAAATATGTTGTTCCTGTAATATGTCTAGCAAAGCATTTAGTTTTTTAGAAAAAGAAAGCTCCCCCCCCCCATTTTTTTCAAACTGATTAAAGCACTTAGTTTTTTTCACAAAAAGAAATTTTATTTCAGTCACTATACGAGTTATGCACCAACCAATCTTTATTACAATTTAGCCTCTGGCTACATAAAAGCATGCTCTCAAAAAGCAACACTAACAAACGAGAGACGTAGTCTAGACAATAATTCTATTAGGCGACAACCAACCATGCTTGACGATGATATCTAAACTTGCCATCTCTAACATACGACATCGCCCACTTCAACCTTGGTATGTCGCTTTTCTTTTCGAGTATGATACAGAAGCACATGTTTAGTAAGTAGCCCTAAAAATAAGAGAGAATTCCTTATTTGACATCAGACAAATGAGTTCCGTTTTTGGCCCTCAAAATTTTTTCGTTCCCTATTTGACACCGAGTTCAACTTTCATTTCTTACATGACACTCCGTTGCATTTTTCATCCGGCCACCGTTAACTGCGCTGTGAAAAGATGATTTTGCCCCTGTGGGCCCCACCACCCTTCTCCCTCCTCTCCTCCTCCAGGCCGCCACGTCCTCCCCACGTCAGGCGATGGCCGGCCGCAGCGCTATCCTGGTCGCGCGCCGCGCTGGGGCTCAGCCACCGCGCCGTGCTCCGCGTCCCCTCAGCGGCGGCGTCCGACGACGGCGGCGAGTGCGAGTGCGACGACGGTGGCCGTGCGCGTGCGGCCGTGGCTGCTGTGGTGGCGGCGCGGGTCTAAGCGCTTCCATGTGTGGGGCCGCCGCGTGGTGGACCTGGCCTGGGACCTCTCCCGCGCGCGATTCCAGCCCTCGGGCGGCTCCACGGAGCCCTGCTCGGGGTACTTCGTCGCCGTCGTGGTGGACGGCGAGATGGCGGTCGTCGCGGGGGACATGGCGGAGGAGGCCTACAGGAAGACCAAGGTGTGACGCTCGCCCGGGCCGGGCCCATCCTCGTCTCGCGCCGCGAGCACGTGTCCATGCGCGACGGCAGAGGACGCGGGCACCGGACCTGCGTCGTCGTGCGCGGCTAGCAGCGGGAGATCTCGGTGGATCTCGTCTCGCGCGCCGCCACCCAGGGCGGCCAGGGGTGGGAGCGGGACAGGGCCGAGGTCGGCATGTCCGTCTCCGTCGACGGCGATCGCGTGCTCCACGTCCGCCGCCTGTGCTGGAAGTTCCGCGGCACCGAGAAGGTGGACCTCGGCGGCGGCGACCGCGTCCTCGTCTCCTGGGGGAGGACGCGGCGGCCTGGAGGAGAGGAGGGAGAAGGGTGGTGGGGCTCACAGGGGCAAAATCGTCTTTTCACAGCGCAGTTAACGGTGGCCGGATGGAAAATGCAACGGACGTGGCCGGATGGAAAATGCAACGGACTGTCATGTAAGGAATGAAAGTTGAACTCGGTGTCAAATAGGGAACGAAAATTTTTTGGGACCAAGAAAGGAACGGGTCATTTGTTTAGCATCAAATAAGGAATTCTCTCTAAAAATAACTTGCAAATAAAGGTGTATATTCTTTTCTTTTTCTTTTTTTTATCGAAGACCACGTCATTTCTGCTCAACCAAATATAGTAGTCTACAACGCTACCTACTGAGGAGAGCTAGTAGGTTCCATGAGCAGTGACGCAAGCATTTTGCGTGCCTTTAGCTCGTTGATTCCAGCAAGAAAACGCATCACCTTTTTTTTTTGGCCCTGCCGAACGAACTTGGAAAGCATCTCGTTATTAAGATGCCAAAGAAGAGTCCATGCACGCATGCAACTTATCTCGACAGGAATTCAGGTTCACTGAACCTGCCCACACTTTTTAACCACCAAAAGGCGGCACGACAGGAGGTAAACTAACAAACTAGAACAGGGCACGATTATATTCCCGTCCACTTCAAAATGGCTGTTTTCCGTTTCTAGAGCTTCCCAAAAACGCATCTTTAAGGCTTGTCTGACTTGAAATTGACAAGTACGGCAGTACGCCCTAATAATAAAGGAGTACTCTACGTAATTGCATTATTGCTTCGTGCTGTACAAAATTCTTCATGTAGTAAGAGTCTGCATAGAGCACAAGAATTTCTGATGGAACGGCTTCCGAATTTCAAATTTGTACGTACAAGAATTGTTAATTCCTGGACTAGTTCTTTTTTTTCATCAAATGGTACGAAAACTTAACGTAAAGATTTTCGGCCGTGTTCAGTAGAACTAAAGTAAGTGCTGTGGCTGCGGCTTTTCACTGCAGTTGTTCTCGGTGCTTCACTGTGCAAACAGCCCCACGTGGGCTGTTGCTTAAGTTGGTGTTTGGTTGTCCCTCTTAAATTTTAGTCGCTGTCTCATCAAATGTTTGACATATACATGGAGTATTAAATATAGACTAATTACGAAACTAATTGCATAGTTTGCGACTAATTTGCGAGATGAATCTTTTAAGCCTAATTAGTCCATGATTTGATAATGTGGTGCTACAGTAAACATATGCTAATGACAGATTAATTAGGCTTAAAAAATTCGTCTCGTGGAATACTGACGGATTATGTAATTTGTTTTTTTATTAGTATCCGAACACCCCATGCAACATCCTCCCGACACATCTCCTAAATTTTAGTCACCGAATCCAAACACCACCTAAATTCAGCTCAAGTGCGTGCATTTTTTTCTTGCGACACGGAGCTTTCACAATAAATTTTAACAAACTGGATGTACAAAAATCTCTACAGATTAAACGAATTGAATCCCAGTAGAACCTGCTAACAAAGTAAACGCCGTGTTTCCACACTGGAGCTTGAAGCAAGCAAAGCAAGCCATGGTGTTGTGACACGGTGACATGAAACTTCACAGAAGCTGATGTTTGCATGTGACATGGTTTCCCCTATAAATAGCTTGGACCGATCGCGCTCTCATCACAAGCTTGGCATGCCACGTTGCCACGGTGGCACACACATCTGTACACCGATCGTCGAGCCCGTGTCTGTCCGTCCGTTCGTATATATATAGGCGTTCGATCGAGCGCGACGGCCACCAAACAACCCCGCCACGTTTCCATTGCGCCGCCCGGCCACCATGCTCGCGAGGGCTCCTCCACGTCCATGCTCCACCGGCGGCGA